TATGGACACACGGGGCAGGATCACTCAGCAAATATCATGAGTTTGTGAACTCTTTTCATCCATCCCTGAAATTCTCACTAGAACAAACAAACGCCGCTACCATCTCCAGTGTGCCATTCTTGGACACTCTCATTACAGTAAAACCCACAGGTCAGTACGAGACCGAGCTCTACAGGGTGTCTCATAAGTTCGTTCTCACCTAAATTTTACGTTTAGAGGCTCTCTTGCTTAAAGGCACGCTGAACTGGGCTCGTAACTGAGATTATGCGGTTGCCATGGCTGGTAGCAATATGCTCCACAGTAACTAATTTCTCTAGACAAAATAGTTTTTGCTAGAGAGTCCACTTCCTATAGAGACGGCTAACGCCGCAACATAGAGGTCTCCGATACGGGTACGTCTCGGTATTTAGTCGGCACGTGACCATTCGCGACGATTGAGGGTGATTGAAGTCAACTAGTTTGTAGCCAATGTATGTCGCTAACTGTACGCACAGTCAGTAAGTGACACCAATGATTTGTCGGGACTCAATCACTGCAAGTTTATCCTCTTTCCAGTCAGCCCTCAGGAGTGAGCCATGTCGCCAAAACTGTCTGGCGTCAAAGTGGCCACCAAAAAGGTCAAAATGTTTAAAAGTTGATAAGCTGGCTTTTCAGGATGGATTATCAGCTGTCTAAGAATATTTTTCGGGGTACATAACTCAAGGTGACTTAAGCTTAGACTTACTGGAGGACTCAAAACAGTCGAAAATGTCTTAAAATGGCCAAGCATGTGCTTCGTTATGCCTGAGGCTAAAAAATTGGAGGGCCGATGACATCAATGTGGTCATCTGGACTACCTATCCATGTTCGAGATGAAACACTCGTCCAAACCCTAAAACGGTCCCATAAAGACGAAAGAGAATGCCTCCGTTTCGTCCCGCTTTGTTCCAATGCAAAATGCCAGGGTCACGGTATTGCGGGATTATAGGCCTCCAGACGCTGACTAGGACGCGATTGGTACTCCAGAAACAGTTTTGGGACGCAGAATGCTTCTCCAAGACCTGGAAGGAATCTCAGCGTTCTAGCTCAACTCAAACCGCAATTGCGGTACTTGCGCGCAAGTATGAACACATTTTTGGAGGAGAAAATGGCATCCGGAAGGTCGTAGGCCCATCTTCAAGCGAGACACTGCATCGGTGAACTGGTCAAGGAAAGCTCAAAAGCGGTGCCATGAGACTGTGACAGGCATCTGTCGCAAGATCACATGTCAGGCAACGCATGGGATCCAAAATTTCATGAAAATACGTTGGGGATACTGAAATCGTGGCTCGTCGAAGCGAGGCGCCGTTCCAGCCTCCAGGAGCTCACGGCGAATGTTAACCCATTAACGCCCAGCGGTACCAAAAGGTACCAACGCACATTTTGGTTTGCTGCGTTGAGACCACACGTTCTTTCGCCGGATAGATTTTGTCATCGGATAATGACCTCCTTTCCGGATATGCTGTTGGGTATAAATAACGTGCTGATACGAAGAGCTTCGTGTGAGGTGCAGAAAAGCTCGGAGTGTTTCGAGGCGCCGCAGTCATGGGCTGACGTTGGGAGATAAAAACGTTTGTGGTTGCTTGTCTGTAAATATTTTTTTAGCCAAAGTGTGTTTACAATAAAGATGAAGAACTCGCAGCTGCAGTTAAGCAGAAAATCAGATGTTTCGTCATGAATCCTGGCGTTCCTAGGGGCAGAATTTTTGTTGGTACCTTTTGGTACCACTGGGCGGTAGGCTAAGCGTTTTTTCGCAATTACATGCGTGTGCGGTCTTTGCAGAGGGGAAACAACGCTCAACGGAGTGATGCGGACAAATTGTTATTTGGGGCGCCATCCCTCAAGGGGACGCCATCGCCCGAGGGAATTGGGTGCGTAAGAGGGGCGCCTTTGAGGCCATAAGGGCGCCTATATGCGAAAGAAGGGCACCTATGAAGTTTTTAGGGGCGCCTCAATGCAAATGAGGATGCCCATAAGGGCACCTGCATGCGAAAGAGGGGCACCTGTGAAGCCTATAGGAATGCCTCTGAGGCCCATGACGCCCATAAGTAGAGGCGCCCACATGCAAAAGGGGCGCCCTTGAACGCCATAATGGAGCTTCCATACGAAAGATCGGTCCCTGCATCCCAAAGATGGCCACGCCTCTGAGGCCTATGGAAAGAGGAAGGAGCGCCTGTGAAGCCCATAGGCGCCTGTGGGCGCCTCACTGGGAACGAGGGGCGCCTGTAAGGTCTACAGAGTCGCTTTTGATGCCCATAGGGGCGCCTACATGCGAAAGAGGGGCGCCTATGAAAGTTATGGGGCGTCTTCATGCGAAAAAGGGGTGCCTATGTAGGTTGAAGGTCGTTTGTGTAACGTTTCTCAGGGGTGATGCGCCCTTTGCGGCAAGAGGTCGGAGAGGGGAGCGCCTTCGTCGCCACCAAAGAAGCTGGAGCATTCATTGCTGATTGGTCATTCACTGCTAACGTGACGCATGGATGTTGGATAGGATGCTTTGCCCTATAATCGCTGGTATTATATGGTAATCGCTGGTTATTGCGGGTACCCCTGTGGAGCAACCATGTGGTTAAGGCCCCAAATGAATTTTGCTTGGGGGAGGGGAAGGGGCACGGTTTTGAGATCGTCCTGTTGTTTAGGAAGGCTGTTGCTGTTGTTCAGGAATAGGAAGGCTGTTGCTGTTGTTCAGGAAGAAATGGGTAACGGCGTCATATCCCAGTGCAGTTTGTGCGGTAATACACCTACGGAGGAAATATTGATGCGGATGGTATTGACAGACGAGTTCCTGCAGACCTGCTGCTTGGTCAGTGGTACGTACACCTGAGAATGGGATGCATACCTACACCGCGACGGATTCGGACACTGGATTAGAGCTGGCCCTACCACGAAGGCAAAGCGTCTGCAAAGTACGTGGTTGGCACTAAAGTCATCTGTGGCAAGTGGCGAGTGGCGCTCTGCTCGGAGACGTACTTACATGGAGAGAAGCATCACGGCTAAAAGTAAGACCTATATTGACCAGGGTATGCGTGTTGACTGCTGCAGCGTGTGCCTCGGCGCAAGCAGCACTGCACGATCCGGTTGAAGTCCATTTTGGAGATCTGTCTCGTTTGGTTGCTGAATTAGATTTGGAAGGGTCTTGCTGTGCATGAACCGTAACCACAAACTCTGCTGGCTCTTGATCTATGGGTTTCAAGTTTGTTTTCATAGTTTTGAAAGATATTATAGAGTAGTTGCTGGTTCAGAACATTCAGAAAACTGTTAGTTTTGTCATTTGTATAGAAATATTTGTGCATTTTAGGAAAATAAACGACCCTGCAAGCCTTGAAACCTGGGCTGCGGAGTCGGGGTCGGAGTCAGTCGGAGTCGATATCTCTAGCCGAGGTCGGAGTCAAAGTCGGAGTCGATTGTGGAAGCCGGAGCCGGAGTTCGAGTCACCGAAAATCCCGCGACTCCGCGCAAATGCCAGGGCTGCGAACATGGAGTCGGGGTTAGAGTCGGTCAGAGTCGACAGCCATACCTGGAGTCGGAGTCGGAGTCGGAGGTGATAAGTGAAAGTCGGAATTGGAGTCAGAGTGAGAGTCACCGAAAATCCATCGACTCCGCATCCTTGCTTGAAACAGTACAGTTCACTAGACCGACCCACCACCATGAATAATAGCATCGATCTTTATGGCAGTTAGGCATAGCATGTCAGTAATGACGTCATAATCTGACAACTTGGAAAACATCAGAGGCGAGTGTTTGCCATAATGTTGCCGATGAGTATGTCGTCTAATATTCTAATTTTCACGAATGAGTTGCAAAGTCTTCTTGGCAAACATATCTTGTATGCTGCTAAAATGCATGTTTTTGCGAAAAAATGATGTCACCAACGCCCAGTGGTACCAAAAGGTACCACTTCAAAAAAGGATATTTCTAGATTTCGCACATTTACCAAACTCACATGGTACTCTTAGGGGTCCATTTACTCCAATTCAGCAAATGGGCACCCGTGTGCGTTCGCTGGGGAATTACGGGCGTTAATGGGTTAAGCCAGTATGGGCTAACTTCAAGCCTGCCACGCTGCGAAACATGCCGGTTGGCATGCCAAAGCATGTAAATATTCATGTGTTTCCCCATGAAATGAGGAGCACATTGACGTGTCATAAATATATCAAAACGCAATGTACAGTCCACAGCAGAAGTAATGTGGAGCTTCAGTCATGGGTATGTTCTGCTTCTGAAGCTTAGGAACGATTAACCAGACTACAATGAAACTTTGAATGTAGCTTATATGTATCGTCACCCTTGCAGCTGCAACTTTAGCTACTGACATCTTCTTTTCGATCACTCCGTATTAAACAATCGCCAGTCAAAGCCAACCGTTGAGATTGGTAAAACCCTACATTACTTTAGCGGTGGGCTGTACTCTGTTTAAAATTCATCATATTCATGCCGTTCCCAACGATTCACGCAAGTGGTTTCTGATTGATCGAGGTTGACCCCTCTTGTGACGCCACAGGTCATGATTCATTTAGATGACTATCCACATGTCAGATCTATCATAAACATCACATTTGGACTCATTTTAGAAATCTAGGTGTCTTCTCAAGGATCGAATTCTCGGCATTGTAAATTGGTATGGTTTGAGCTATTTGACCTCCCTGTGACGTCACAGGTCAAATATCGAGGTCTTTTTTTAATTTTGCATCCTGGTTGCACTGAGGCATACCGGGGAGGTCATCGATATCCCATCTTGTGTATCTCGATGAGCTCTTTCGAATGCCGTTTGAATTTTACCGATCCGTCTATTGGTTCCGGAGATACGACGGTGGCCATTTGCCCCCCCCCCCCCGTCCTCCTTTAAAGCATCATTTCATGCGTGAAAGGACTCATTTTGTGTCGTCTTTATTGCTAATGCTGGCTCCCAGGACGTCCGGCGGCGGTCAGCTGCCCGGTGGCGCGCTCTCTTCTCTCTGACCCTGACTCTGACTTTGACTCGATAGGTCGCTGGATGTACACGTCCAGGAGTGCGTGCGTCACTACCTGTCCGACTGGGTGTACGCGGTGCGTCGGTATGCGGAGTTCAGCAGCGCCGGCGTGCAGCAGCGCCCAGCGGCGCCGGCCACCGTCGGCGAGCCGCACCAGTACGAGCTGGACGGCCCGGTGGAGTTCTCTCTGGCCGGCGGCACCAGCCAGGTACGGAGCCGGCCAGCCGGGCCTATAGCAGCTGCGAGCTGCAGGTCTTCATATGTCTTAAGGAATGTATGATATACAGGGTGTCCCAGAAGTTCCTTCTCACCTAATTTTTCTTTTGTATGCTTTCTTATTTAAAGCCACGCTGAATTTATTTTGTAACTGAGCTTTTGGGGTTGCCAGGGCAACTGTGAATATGCTCTTACGGTAACTAATTCATCTAGACAAAGTATGTTTTTTTTTTTGCTAGAGAATTCACTTCCTGTAGAGACGGCCTACGTCGCAACATAGAGGTCTCCGATAGGGTACGTCTCGGTCTTTAGTCCGCACGTGGGCCATTCGCGACGGTTGAGGGTGATTGAGGCCATCCAGTCTGTAGCCAATGTCTGTCGCTAACTGGACGCACAGTCAGCAAGTGACGCCGATGATTTGTCAGGAGTCAATCGCTGCAAGTTTATGCTCTTTTTTGTTAGCTCTCAGGAGTGAGCCATGTGGTCAAAACTGTGTGGCGTCAAAGTGGCCGTCAAAAAGGTCTTAGCGTTAGAAAGTTGCTAAGCAGGCTTTTCAGGATGGATTACCAGCTGTCTAAGAGTATTATTTCGGTGTACATAACTCACGGTCACTTGGGCTTATGCTTAACAGAGGACGCAACAGTCGAAAATGTCTTAAAATGGCCAGACATGTGTTTAGTTATGCCTGAGGCCAAAAAAAAAAAAAAAACTGGAGGGCCGATGACATAAAAATGGTTATCTGGACTAACTAGTCCGTGTTCGAGATTAACACCCGTCGAAACCCCAAAACGTTCCATATGGGCGACGGAAAAGGCCTTCGTGTCAATCTGCTTTATTCCCATGCAACAAGCCAGGGTCACGGTAATGTGGGGCAATATGCGTCCAGACGCTGATCAGGTTGCGATTGATACTCCAGAAACAGTGCTGGGGCGCAGAATGCTTCTCCAAGAAGATCTAGGAGGAGTTTCAGCCTTCTAGCTTAACTCGAACCGCAGGTATGAACACATTTTTGGAGGAGAGAATGGCATCCGGGAGGTCGTAGGCCCATCTTCAAGCAAGACAGTGCATCAGTGCACAGGCCAAGCAAAACTTAAAAGCAGTGTCAGGAGACTGTGATAGGCGTCTGTGGCAAGATCACATCCCAGGCAACTCATCGGATCCAAATTTCATAAAAAATGTGTCGGTAATATTGAAATCGAGGCTCGTCGAAGCGAAGCGCTGTTCCAGCCTCGAGGAGCTCGCGGTGCATGTCAAGTCAGTCTGGGCTAACTTCAAGCCTGCTATGCTGCCAAACATGCCGGTTGGCATGCCGCAGCATGTATTCATGCGTTTGCCTATGAAATGGGGAGCACATTGAGGGGTCAATGGTCATAAACATCAAAATGCTATGTACTCTGTTTTACATGCAAATATAAGGTGAGAACGAACTTATGGGACACCCTGTATGTCTTTAGATATATGTCTGTTGTATATACACTCAGCTGTATTGTATATGTCTTTAGGAATGTATGATGTGTAACACCTGGGGCATTCCACGATAGATCGACCAAAAAAAAAAACTTAAAATTTACACCCGCATATTTTATTTTTTACTTAAAATTGGTCTAATGGGTTGTGATGGGTGGGGAACCCAGCTGTGGCAAGGATTTTTTTCTTCGAACAACGGTTTCCGAGATATAGCCTCGGGCAGTTCCTGGAGGTCACGCTGCAACCCTATGTTTGGCGGCTTATAACTCAGAAACTATTGGTTTTCTATGGTACAAACTTGATATGGTTCAACTCGCAATCAACCAACAAACGTTTTGGCTATCTCGGATTTTCGAATTTTGAAAATTTTGATCACGTGACATCTTGATCTTTTTTCGAAGAGTGACCTTGATATTTTCCCAACTGAAAGTCGCAATTTTGTCTGATGACGATTAAAGCCTTATCAATTGTCATTCATATGCGATAATAAAAAAGTGGCTTTCGGCCTGCGTTGACCTCAGGTCAGGTCATTTTTATGGCCTTCCCATTATTACGAGCGGGAGCGACAGCGAAATCTCTAGAACAAAGCAAGATAGCGACAAGCGGTAAACGGCACAGGGTACACATGGATAAGGTCTACAATTTTTACTCAGGTCATTTTCAGGTCAGGTCAAAGATGACGTCACAGGGGTAAAAAGAAAGTCTAAATGGCGGCACTACATATATATGAAGTTTTTCTCGAATAACTTTCGAAGTATCCCAGCTAGGAACAAACTAATAGCACCATCGTGATCCTCTCGTCGATCCGCATCGAAACATGTGTATGTTGACCTCAAAAGGTCAAGGTCAAAAGTTGACCTTTAACCTTAGGTCACGTGACCTTAAGGTTATCATATATATCATTCGATGGGCCTTGACGAGCTGAACACAATGAGCCTATCCGCGCGGCTGTATCTCAAACCTGTAAGGAGTTATTAGCAAAAAACATTTGGTGACCTTAAATGACGTCACATGACCCAAGAGCAACGCAGGGCATATTTTAAGGCACTTACTGCGTCCCATTCTGGGACGCAGCCCCCTCGCCTTGGGACGTAGCCCCTGCTGATTTGACCCACTGCGTCCCTGCCCTGTGCCCTGTCCGGTTCCCTGACCTGGGCCCTCCTGTGTGCCCTGACCTGTACCCTTCCCTCTAAAATGTCCTGTGCCATGCCCTGTAACCTGCCGTGCCCTACTTTCTGCCCAGTAAAAATTTGTTAAAATATGCCCTGGAGCAACGTCACAGCTGACCAAGAGCAAAAAAGGTCTCAAGGTAGTCGAAGTTAGTCGCATATGGAGTCACTCATGGTATATTAGGCAATTCCGACGCGTTTTAGTGTAAAAATAAGGGAGCTGATTTTTCCCCAATTGACTTATAATGGGGTGGTCAAGAAATTGACCTGACCTCAGGTCATCGGTATCGAAATTCAAAACGAACTGGCGCTAGGCGAAAGCAAACGGATTGGTGCCTATTCTACGTCTCTTTCTTTATTAGATCAAAAGGTACAGCCAAAATTATTTTGACTTCCTTTTTACCCCTGTGACGTCATCTTTGACCTGATCTGAAAATGACCTCAGTAAAAATTGTAGACCTTATCCGTGTGAATCCTGTATCGTTTACCACTTGTCGCTATCTTGCTTTAGTCTCGAGATCTCGCTGTCGCTCCCGCCCGTAATAATGGACAGGTCATAAAAATGACCTGAGGCCTCTTGCACCAAAATCCTCTTGCACCAATGCTTGGATTATTTTGCATCGTATACCCAGTCCAAGTCTCAAATGTAACAATTTGCGTGCAAAATTTAGCAAGCACATGTAGGATTATGTATTGGGCTATTTCAAACAAATTTAACACCGTTAGATTAGCTTATTCGGAAACCGGTTTTTCGATTTTACCTAGCTAGGTAGTTTGGTGCAAGAGGCCTCTGATCTCAGGTCAATGCAGGCCGAAAGCCACTTTTTTATTGTCGCATATGAATGACAATTGATAAGGCTTTAATCGTCATCAGACAAAATTGCGACTTTCAGTTGGGAAAATATCAAGGTCACTCTTCGAAAAAAAGATCAAGTTGTCACGTGATCAAAATTTTCAAAAATCGAAAATCTGAGATAGCCAAAACGTTCGCTGGTTGATTGCAAGTTGAACCATAAAAAGTTTTTACCATTGAAAACCAATAGTTTCTGAGTTATAAGCCGCCAAACATAGGGTTGCAGCGTGACCTCCAGGAATTGCCTGAGGCTTTATCTCGGAAACCGGTGTTCGAAGAAAAAAAAAATCCTTGGCACAGCTGGCTTCCCCGCCCATAACAACCCATTAGACCAATTTTAAGCAAAAAATAAAATATGAGGGTGTACGGCTTTGGTCGATCTATCGTGGAATGCCCCACCTGATAATCTGGGGTCGTTCAACTGAAATGTAAGCGCTGTAAAAATGAAAATTCGACAAATCTCCTGGGGGATGGCGTTGGCCATGGCCGGATGTATTTCATTTAAAGGTGGTGTGCCAGCTTTCCTCGACCACATGCAGTTAATGACCCGGATAAGGAGAACCGGATTTTTAGAACTTATCCATACCTTCAAAACTCATGGAAACGTCTTAAATTCTTCAAAGTTTGAGTACCCCAGTGCGAAATTCGTCGCGACGGGTTGTCGGTCGTACCCCAACCACATTTCACACCACTATGAACAATAAATGCACACACTGAAATCGCTATTACCGATAGGCTCATCCAATCAAGTTTCGATAAACCCGTTCATCATCATCTCCTGCGGTTTCGAAGACGCCTGTTAGCGGGCTTCTGCTCATACTTTGTGGTGCGGTGGTGGTGCGTCGGGCCGCGCGATCTGTTTCGTCCAAGGAAAATGCGTCAGCTGATCATTGTTATTTCTGCCACTTTCGTGTGGTGAGATGGGGTCATAACTTAATAAACGACTGTTTCATATCAATTATCTTACATAAAGTCATATTTCAAACCATAAATTAATGTTTGACAACCAAATTAGAGAAACAATACCAATACAGGCTTACAGTTTAAGTTCGACATTGTGTTGTCTACGATTAGACAGCTGATAACTCATTCCCGTACGTCGCAACTCTATAATGACCTTTGCTTATTGTCACATGTGCGCCGCATTCGCGATTGTTGCCGACGCCTGTTTGCAAGTCAGCCCACTACAGTTGTTATACATATCGAAAAACCGATAAACTTTTAGGCGCAAATTTTTTTGGGACCCATTGCCATAAACTGAGAGGCAGTACTGGATGCGTGAGATAAAAAGTGCTGTCACGAGCGTTCTAATGATGCCATCCGGGAGACTGAGGCGCGCATGGGAGAGACCGATCAACAGTCCCGTACACCGGCGGCTGAGTTCGGAGACGTGAGCGTCCCAGGATAGAGTACTGTCAAAAGTGACGCCCAGGTTCCCCACCTGCGCGCACGGCTGCAACGCTGCGTCACGGAACGATACCCTGAAATCTGGCAATTTGCGTA